AAAGTCGTCATCAAGACAGTATGGTTCTGGCACAAAACAGACACACAGATCAATGGAACAGAAGAGAGAACCCAAAAATGGACCCTCAACTCGATAGTCAACTAATCTTCGACAAAGCAGGAAAGAATATCCAATGGAAAAAAGTCTCTTCAACAAATGGTGTTGGGAAAATTGGACAGTCACATGCAGAAGAATGAAATTGGGCCATTTCCTTACACCATACACAAAAAAATACACTCAAAATGGACGAAAGACCTAAATGTGAGACAGGAATCCATCGAAATCCTAGAGGAGAACACAGGCAGCAAGCTCTGTGACCTCAGCCACAGCAACTTCTTGCTTAGACATGTCTCCAAAGCCAAGGGAAATAAAGGCAAAAATGAACTATTGGGACTTCAAGATAAAAGCTTTTGCACAGCAAAGGAAACAGTCGACAAAACCAAAGGACAACCGACAGAATGGGAGAAGATATTTGCAAATGTCTTATCAGATAAAGGGCTAGTATCCAAAATCTATACAGAACTTATCAAACTCAACACCCAAAGAACAAATGATCCAATCAAGAAATGGGCAGAAGACATGAACAGACATTTCTCCAAAGAAGACATACAAATGGCCAACAGATACATGAAAAACTGCTCCACATCACTCGGCATCAGGGAAATACAAATCAAAACCACACCGGTCCGAATGGCTAAAATTAACCACTCAGGAAATGAGAGATGTTGGCAAGGATGTGGAGAAAGGGGAACCCTCCTACACTGTTGGTGGGAATGCAAGCTGGTGCAGCCACTCTGGAAAACTGTATGGAGGTTCCTCAAAAAGTTGAAAATAGAGCTACCATATGATCCAGCAATTGCACTACTAGGGATTTACCCCAAAGATACAAATATAGTGATCCAACAAAGGGGCACCTGCTCCCCAATGTTTATAGCAGCAATGTCCACAATAGTCAAACTGTGGAAAGAGCCCAGATGTGCATCGACAGATGAATGGATAAAGGAGATGTGGCGTGTGTGTGTGTGTATATATATATATATACACACACACATATATACATACTGAGTTTGGAGAGATTTTGTTACACATCAAAAACTGACAGATACAATGCAGAAATAGTGATACTCATTTAACCAAATCTAATTCTTATATAAATCTTTATCATCAAGAATTGACAACAACAAGAACAATCTTCAGGAAATTACATTTGTTAGTAAGCACTCTGATTGATAAGACCTGAAGTAATGAACAAATTATGAAATATGAAAAGCAATAAACTCCTAGAGAAATCTCCAAAAGCCTTAATTCTTCAAAGGGAACACAGACAGCCCCAAATTATATGAGCTCTGCTGGTTTATTCCTGGTTCTTTTACTGCTCCTTCTCTGACTCCTTCACTGTATCCTCTTTCTTTCTCTGCCCCTAAATATCGCTGTCCCTCATGGCTAGTTGCTATTTTTCTCACAAAGCAAGTGGGTTACTTTAAAAAAAAAAAATTTTTTTTAAGATTTACTTATCTTAGAGAGAGTGTGTGTGCACGTGGGATGGGGGAGGGGCAGAGGGAGAGAGAGCATCTCAAGTAGGCTCCCCGCTGAGCGCAGAGCCTGCCACGGGGCTCAATCCCATGACCCTGAGATCATGACCTGAGCTGAAATCAAAAGTCAGGCGCTCAACTGACTGAGCCACCCAGGCACACTGCAAGTAGGTTGTTTCTGTCCATGTTTATTGGCGAGGGATCTCAAAACAAATAAATTGTCTGAACTTGAATACCCAGGAAAGTAGTTGAAAAGAACATGGTGTATGTTACCATCAGAATGTACAGCTGGGCTCAGGGCCTGGATTCACAATCACTAGAGGGAAAGGCTCCCCACCAGTAAGTGCCGGCTCTGACCTGATCACATAGCACCAACTATCCACCGTTACTGTTCATCTGGATTTCCTTTTTTTTTTGACAATGAAATGGTATATAACTCAAGTTATTTAAAAATAGATATCCAAATGCTCTCTGGACCCAACTGGAACATGGTATAAAGAAACTGAGGGCACTAAATCCAGAGGAAAGTCAATGAAGTCCGAGTTGCAAACAAAGTTGAAAATCAGAAAGAATAATTGTTTTAAAATTAGCAATAACCTAAGTTTTAAAACCCCAGATTATATCAACATAAATTATTAGAAAAAGTAAATGAGTGGGGAAAAAGTTCCAAAACCTCAATTAATAGGTTGATAATTAGAGAACTACAGCTCCCAAAACCTTTTTAATGCAAAAGGTGCCCAATTTTACTTAAGACAGGGGGAAGCCAGGTGAAGAAGGCTATGTGGGAATTTTTTGTACAATTTTTGCAACTTTGTTGTAGATTCGAATTATTTGAAAATGTAAAGTTAAACATTTGTCAGTGTAGTTTTAAGAGGTAGCCATTGGCAATATTAAAAATCGGATTAATACTTTTCAAAATATAAGTGAAAGCAAAGCAAAGCAAAGACAGTAGTAAAGGAAAATGCAGAGCACAAATGAAGCCCCATAGAATTATATGTATAATTCTAATACTTGTTCTAGCCACTGCTCTTCATCCATTTTGTAGATGTCCAAAAGCGAGGCAAACTTCCCTATCAAGAGCTAGCCTGATTTATAACTGATTATTTCCCTGATCTTTCAGCAGATTTGCTCCAACAGCGGGTTACTATGGTGGCAATAGGTGGCAGCTGGTTACCATGGTGACCATAGTAATCTGAAGGAGACTGTAGTCTGTGTGCCAATTTCTGTTCAACTGCTTTCACAGCATACTTAACTTAATCTTCAGGACCATCTTGTGAAGTAGTTTTTACTTGTGTAGTTGTGAAGAAATTGAGGCTCAAAGAGGCTTCTGGAGGGGGTTTGTTTGTTTATGAAAAAAACTGCCCCATGGGGCGCCTGGGTGGCTCAGTCATTAAGCATCTGCCTTCGGCTCAGGTCATGATCCCAGGGTCCTGGGATCGAGCCCCACATCGGGCTCCCTGCTTAGTGGGAAGCCTGCTTCTCCTCTCCCTCTCCCCCTGCTTGTGTTCCCTCTCTCACTGTGTCACTCTCTGTCAAATAAATAAATAAAATCTTTAAAAAAAAGAAAAAAACTGCCCCTATTAAATAACTTGTAAGCAGGAGAGGTCGCTTGGAATCCAGGATAAGATTCCAACACTCGGGCTCTCCTCACTCTGAGAGGGCTCCAGGCTTACCAGCGTCACCTTGAGGCAATCTACTGACCACTCACTAACCTGCCCCCAAGAAAATCAGTGGTGTCCTTGAACGTCAAAACTTCCCTTCTGCTGAAAGAAGAACCCCCTACACGCTACGATCTGGGAACCATCTAAAGGGTTCCCCAAAGGAAAAAAGAGGCATATTCCGTACAGTGCATTGACCTTGCTCTCTGAACACTCAGTGAAACACCCACAGAGTTAGAAAATAAGTACTGGGTCAGTAAGCACCATCCCTGACATCTGCAAAGGTGGACATACAAATCCCAACGATGATAACCTGGTTTATGATTCTAGGCTAAACACGTAAACAAGAACTTCAAAGTGCAGAGGGGACAGCCATCACCACTTTAACAAAAGATGTATCCGGAAGGTCAAGCTTCAACTCCCTACACTTCCTGCCCTGCATCGCCCAAAGCTCACCTGTATTTGCACCTGTCCTCACCCTCTTCCTCTCCTCTCAGAAGAACGACAGCTTTCCCTTCCCTCCAAGGCTCTTAGCCTCTGTGGGCTCTACGGCCTCTTCTCTACCAGGGATTTCCCTACTAGGTACTCTCTTTAATCACTGGCCACTGATTCTTTGCCTTCAATTTATTTTTAAAGTAACTTTCTGTTTTCCCCACCTTCCCCTCAAGCCTCTCTCTTGAGTTACTCACCCCAAATATTGTTGAAAGTGTCATCTTCACTGACAGTAAGCTGTGTAGACATGTCTTTATCCCCCACTACTGTTAAATTCCAATCTAATTTTGACCAGCATCAGTGTGCTAAAACCACACATCTCACTCCCTTCCACTGCTCCCCAAAGGCACCTGCTCCCAAGAATTTGGTGTGAACCCTTCTGGTCCATTTCTAAAATACTTCTGTGATACATAGGTATAATCATGGAAGTACTGTATTTTGAAGGTTTGATTTTACACATTTGGTATCACACTATGCATATTATTCTGCAACTTGATTTTTTTTTTTATGCAACATTACCGTTTTGAGCTCTCTCCATGCTGATCTAGGTCATGCATTTTACATGTTGCTCACTCATTCTTCTCCTGATGGACATTTAGAATGTTTTCAATTTTCTGCTACTAAAAACAGTGCCTATAATGAACATCCTCCTTGTACAGGCACACAGACTTTCTCGGAGTGCACACATCCAAAAGTGGAACGAACTACTAAATCACATGGTACACATGCTTGCTATTTTAGTAGATACTTCCAGATTGTTCCTCATAATTCACCTGCACCAGTGGCGCACGACCATTCTCATTCTCACATAACCTTGCCAACACTTGATAATGTCAGACTTTCACATTTTTGCCAACTTGGTTGGAGTAAAATAGAGTTCCATCTCATCACCACTGAGGTTCAATACCTTTTTCATATGATATCCAATTTCTTCTTTGAGCTACCTTGTCATCTCTCTTTTGCCTGTTTTCATATGGGACTTACTTTTTTTTTTAATAGTAGCTTACCTTTATTCTGCATACTAATCCTTTTATATCGCAATTATACATTTCTATGCATATAATTATCTTCTCTCAAACTTTATGATGTTAGGCCTCAGTATGTTACAAAAGCAATACATGTGATTCTGATGTGAAAACAAGCTTGAGAAACTTTGCCTCTAAAAATACTTCAGAACACCACTCTCAGTAGCAATGAAACGATAAACATTTCAGAATAAAAAATGGGACACAGGTATAACGCTGCAATTTTAACTGGCCTTATTTCATATTAGCAAGAAGTTACAAATGCAGAAGAGGTTAAAAAAAAAAAATCTCACTGTGGATTCATGTTACATTTCTTTAGTTTCTCTTCCAGTTCAGGTAAATCTCGGAGATCTGCCCCAATAATGGCGTATCTCTTTGAATCCAACAGGTGTCCATCTGCAAATCCAAGAAGAGATTATCATTTCAACTGAAATTAACCAAGAGATTATAATTTCAATGGGTATGGTTCTTTCAAAATTAAAGTAAACTTATTGTTTTTCTCCATTATAAAAATACATGCTCCGTTGTGGGGGGAAAAAAAAAGTCAGGAATGAAGAGGGGAGAAATGAACTAAAATCATACCTTCCAGAGATAACTATTAGTATTTGAGTGTAGAACATCCCGGTCCTTTTTTCTATGTGCTCAAACTCATATATACAAAATAAACACATTCTCACACAAACATACACACACACCTCACACAGAAAAAAGCAAACAGGGCCAATTCTTTCAGAAACTGCTTTTCCTATTTAACAGTAATATCAATGACATCATTCGCTGTAATGATTTCCTAGAATTCCATGAGTGGATAAAACAACTTACTCAACCAATCTCTCACTATCAGGCATGTGGTATTTCCAAGTTTTCTCCATCTGAGGCACTGCAATGAACATCTTTATATAGACATCATGAAGCACCTGTCAAGTAGGTCTCTCTGAGTGGAATTAGGAGGTCAAAGGGTAAGCCTATGTAAATAATGGTACTGATTGGCTGGCTGCTCTCTACATGTTTTGCCAATCTGTGAGATACTGTGTTTGAAGGAAAATTGTCTCTATACTAAAGTATTTACAAATAAGATGATAACATTTGCTTTAAAATACTCCAGCAGAGATTGGATGGAATGGTTTTTATACTGGTTCTCAAGCTTTGGCAGCCATCAGAATCACCTGGAGGACTTGTTAAAACACAGACTGATGGGCTCCACTCCCTGAGTTTCTGATTCAGCAGATCTTTCAAAAGTAGAAATTTTTTCAAATTCTTTTAAAAGTTAGAAACCTGTATTTCTAACAAGTGCTTAGGCCGTGTTGATGCCCTTAGTTTAGGACTAACTTTTAGAACCACTGGTACAGATGAAGTTGGTCATAGTTAAAGTTAGATGTTGGGCACGTGGAGGTTCACTGATTTATTTTTATGTATACCTAAAAATGTTGTCAATTAAAAGTTTAAAAAATGGATTGTAATTTATTTTTTTTTTTTACAGATTTTATTTATTTATTTGACAGAGAGAGACACAGCGAAAGAGGGAACACAAGCAGGGGGAGTGGGAGAGGGAGAAGCAGGCTTCCCGCGGAGC